TAGAGTGGCACTGAGCATTGGGACTGGGCCTAATTCTGTCCACTTCAATCATTTAGTTCAGATTTCAGTTTGAACCTTCAGCTCACAGCTTTTATTCTTTATTCAGATTGGAGCGCTGCAGTTTGTCAGAGATCAGCTGTTCTTCTCTGGBCTCAGCTCTGAAGTCCAACCCCTCCCATCTGACTGAACTGGACCTGAGCTGGAACAGCCTTCACGCTCCAGATGTTCAGCAGCTGTTGGATCTTGTGGAGAGTCCAGACTACAAACTTCAGACTCTGAGGTCAGTAGATGGTCTGAGTGAGTCCAGACTAGATCTGGGCTGGATGAGCTCAAAATGAGATCAGAATATTTCTGAAAGTTTGCATTAATAATCTTCATTTAGTGACTTTGTGACTTTTCTTAGTTGCAGCTGAAGTTGTGCAGCTTCAACATGTATCTGACTGTTTGACTGCAGTTGTTGTGGAAACTTTTTTCCTAAATGAACGTTGATTTCTTCATTTTGGACCTGAAAATGTTTTCTTTCCCTCATAAAGCTGTGAAGTGTTGAATAAAGTGAGTCTTGTTTGTCCTGACGTGTTTTCATGCAGAAGACTTCTCTGACGTGAGGCTGCTTTCTTTGATTGGACTGAACTCTTCATGTCGTCACATTTTCTTTGAATCCACGTCAATCAGAAAGAAACAAAAGTCAGAAGTTCTTCTCCCAAATCCTCCACATGGTTCAGACACCATGAAGTTTGTGTTTAAAGGACAAGCTTGCAGGAAGATTTCTGCTTCAGCTCTCTAAACGTGTCTCCCCTCCTCTTCCTSTCTTCTTCCTCACATCACTGACACACAGAGTGTTCAGGGACAGCCTCCATGTTTGTTAGTCAGCTGAGATTTCACAGTTTGTGTATTTAAATGGAGCAGCAGTTGACATGGAACAACAGGAATTTCACCCTCCAGTGTTTGTGCAGTAATGTTGACTCAGCATTTTGTTTCCTCTGACAGGAAGTCTCCTACAGACAAGATTTTACAAGTTTTTTTTGGGGAGATTTAAAATAATTTTTCTTTGAAACAATTAAAGATATCTTATTAATCAACTCACTAACACCTTCAATGAAACAGGGACTCATTACTCTCATCCCTAAACCATCTAAAGATAAGAGACACATTGAAAATCTTCATCCAATAACTTTATTAAATACTGATTATAAAATATTTACATTTGATCCAAACAGGTTAAAAGATGATTGATTTCAAATAATAAGTGATCCAGTCTGGTTTCCTTAAAGAAAGACCTGTTCACAATAATCTGAGACTGATTTTAGATCTGTTGGACTGTGAACATCTGGTGGAGGATGATGGAGTTATTCTCTTGTTGGATTTTTATAAAGCTTTGATTTGGTTGAACATCCTTCATATTAAAAGCATTGGAGCTTTTTTGGTTTTGGAGAAAGATTTATAAAATGATTCAGTTTCTTTCCACAGACATCAATAGTTCAGAATCTTTTTCTTCTGGAACTTCTGTGATTATTAATGGATGTGACTTTATAGATGGAAAAACATGTAAAAACAAATTTATAAGAAAAACTCTGACTTCTATTGTTTCCCATCAACCCTGAGAAGAAAGGATTTGTTTAAAAACTATGACGATACCTCTAAAAACATAGAACCAAATATCTTTCTTGTCCTGTCCCACAAAAAGTTAAAAAGTCCATTTGAAACGAATCCATGATATTTTTCCTTGTAAGGACATTTTACCAAATCAATTCAATGTAAAGTGCAGCTGCTGTGTGTTCTGTGACTCAGATGTTCAGACTGCAGAACTCCTCTTCTTTCACTCTAATGTTAGAAATGCTTTTTGGAAAAATGTTCAAGACTGGATCCTGGGTAGAAAATCTGTTCCACCTCTATGTTTGGACCAAATCGAACTGAGTCTTCTAACAGGATAAAGAAGTGAACTACAGCAATAATTTAATCCTTTTTTATACATAAATGCTGCTTTTTAAAACTCACTCCTTTATTTAACATTTTTCTAAATGAAGTAGTTTTATTTAAGGAAGTTCTGATTCTCCGCATCAAGAGTAAAATCCAATCATTGCATCAATATATCAGTGATATAATCGAATAACTGAAACACCTCTTGAGATAATGTCCTTTTGTTTTATTTATTTTGTTTTAGTATGTTCTGTTTTTTGTTTTGTCTTTATTACATTGTTCTATAACTCACTTTTCTGCTCAGTTTTATGTTAATCTGTATATTCTTTGTGAATGGACTGAATTTATAGAGCTCTTTATCAAGTCCTTCTGGACCTCAAAGCTCTTTACACTTAAATTCACCCATTCACACACTGATGGTGGTAAGCTACATTGTAGCCACAGCTGCTCTGGGGCACACTGACAGGGGGGGGTGGGGGCTGCCATGCAACAGTGCCACCTGACCACCATCAGTATTATCAGAATCAGAATTGTCTTGTTTTCTTTAAACAAGTCAGCTGCAGGCAGGAAGTTACCTCCTCTCTTCTCTCTGCAGGTGGGAGGGAATGGGCGCGTGGGTATAATATCTGAGTTGTGATGATCTACAGAGGCTGAAGCAGCAGCAGGTTGTTGGAGAAGAAACTGATTGGATCCTGATGATGATGATGATGATGATGATGACGATGATGAACATTTAGTGTTTTATATTTACAGAAAATTATCTGACAGGTTGATGTCTGATTCTGTGTTTTATTTACTTTGAACCAATAAAACTAAAGTCAAGATTAAATAAAAATATTAAAATTATCTGTAAATGGAGCTTAAATAACTACAAGATAGAAAATCTGAGTTAAAAAACGGCAACTCGAGTTTGATAAATAACTTATTTGTTATGTTATTTGTCTTTAATTATTTTAAATGAATCAAGATGTAGATGTGTTTCTGTTTGCTTTTTGAATGAAGTAGAGGTAATTTCCTGCATTCTGGTGTATTTTAACAGGTTGTTCAACAGATTTTGACCTACAGAAGTAAACTCTTTGTGTGAGTTTTCTACAAATCAAGTGGAGTGAATTTGTTTATTAAGCAATAGAAACACTTGGTGAAATAATGTTTTATGGTAAATGTGAGGGGGTCCAAACAAATTTGATTTTATATGTGAGGGGGACACTTCCCCTTCACAAATATTTACTGTGATGTCTATGGGTTATTTGTAAATTTCTTTAAAAACGTCAAAATGTACATCTTAAAAACATTTATACATTTGTAAGAGACAAGCTTTCTCAAATTTAAAGCCACCTCTTCTGTGTATTTTAAGAGTTTTATTTGCTTGTTGATGTTTACTTTGATGAACAAACCTGTTATTATAAATACCCAAAACTGGAAATAAAGACTAAACGTGTCTTTGTTACATCACTTCATGTCATTTATCTTTCTACACAGGATTTGTCAAATTTTCCTTCAGAATCTGAAACACTTTGATTAAATTTTATTGATTCCATGATATTATTTTCAAACTGTGACTGAAAACTGAAATACTGTAAATATTACAGAAAATAATGTAACTGTAAACCAAAAAAGAAATTACAGTAACAGTTGTCAGAGTTTCTTCTGAAACTTGAGCTCTTCCTTCACGTTCACCTCTCACACAGACTCCTCTTCCTCTGACTCAGTCTATTCTGTCTTGGACCTCCTCTATCCATGCTGGTAAAGAACACAGACGTTGCAGTGACAGCTGGCCCATAGGGGGCGCTGGGGAGATTTACCCACTAGTGTTTGCCGCTGAGACGCTGCAGCTTTAAGACCTGCAGACTGGTCGCTAAGTGAAGATTTTGTGAAGGAGTGTCAAACAGCTGCTTCATTGATTTCATCCTGATATCAGCAGCTTCTAACAGTCAGGATCAGGAGGTTTCTGTTTGATTAGCTGAGCTAAAACAATGGAGTTTAGACTGAATAACATCTGTGTTCAAAAGAATGGACCAACACAGAAGAGCTACATCATCAGGCTGCGGTTTACACTCATCTACAGGCCAGGACTCTACAGTTTGCACTAATCTACAGGTCAGGGGTCGATTTATAAAACTTGCATATGCACAAAACTAGCCCAGAAACTTGCGTACGCCACTTTTTACGCCAAGGTTGTGATTTATAAAATCCAATCTTGACGTGAAAATGTGCGGTGCCTCACACCAGCTCTGACCCATGCGTACGCTCAATTTGGAGATGAGAAGCTGCGACACAGATGGTGAAGTGAGGAATTATAGCCACACTGTGTAATGATCACTGTCAGAGATTTAATTTCACTTCAGAATCAGACTTAGATTTTTATTCAACTTTATCATCAGCTTTCTTAACAGTAATATTTATGCTTCTGCTCCTGAGCCATAAGTTTCTTTGAAATAAAAAACTTAATCTTAAATAAAAGTTCACACATCTCTATTCATCTCCTTCCTCTTCACGACCCTGACAAGCGAAGCACAACAGCAAAGAGCTCGGTTATAGTCACGCTTTGGGTGTGTTAGCCCTCGCCAGCGTGGATGTGTTACAACAGATTCATTTTTTTAATCTCCGTATTTCTTAGGTGGGGGGTGAGGAGACGGTCAGCTGCAGCAGGCAGGTGGGGGGAAGATGGGGGAGAGGAGCGGTGAACTTAACTTTATCTGACCTATTTAATTTTAGTTATTGTTTTTATCATCCTGCAGGTTCTGAGAGAAAATAAATTTGCAGCTGAGTTTTTGAAATAAATCATTAGATTACTCTAAACGTATGCAAACCTGCAAAATGAGGGAAAATCTATGTAAATTACAGACAATCTGTTCACGTGAGCAGCTGTCAGCACCTGTCGTCCAGCACGACAGAGTGCATATCTGAACCGACCAATCACTTTTTTTTGACACTGATCAGCTGACTGATTTAAATACATCTTACCATTCATGAGGTACTTTGCATTGACCGTTTATGGTTGAGTGTGGGCGTGTAGAGGGTAGAACCTGAGGCAGGACCTTGTGTGCAAACTCTGAGGTGCGGCTGTGATTTATACATAAAAGGCTCAGAAATATGCGTACGCCGGTGAGGAGCTCAGAGTAAAGAGGCTCCTCTGCATCTAAAGGAGTGGGCTGAGGTGGTCCATCTGATCAGGACGCCTCCCTGTGGAGGTTTTCTGAGACCTCGGGACAGACTCTGGAGAGTTTTGAGTCTGGACTGTCCCTATGATCCATCTAAACTCTGGAGTTTCTGTCTGTTCTTCATGAACAARCTGCTGCAGCTCCTTCAGGTGGGTCCTGCAGGGAATCAAACTGAAACCAAACATTTAAGAGTTAAAACAGAATAAACTTACTTATAAATTACATCACCTTACATTTTCACACAATTATCTGTACTTTCTACTTCTTACATTTTTAAACAAGGTAAGAAGTAGAAAGTCGTTACTCTATTTCATTTTGGCTCATTATTGTTAAAAAAATATCCTGATAAATTGTGCCTCCTGGAAAGAGTGAGAGAGTGAGGTTCTTCTTCCATGAAGCAGCTCTGTTGTCCTCCATCCATATTTTCAGTTACAGGCTGAGTCATTTCTACCTTCTCCTCTCTGTCAACGCTCTCTGGTTTCATTTAAAAGAGTCGATCATCAGATATTGTCCAAGATTAACCTTCAGGGTGGATATAGCTCGCTAGCAGCCTCGCACCGATGACCTAGTTGATGTCATCATTTACCCAGAATGCTTTGCATGTCTCCGTCCATGTAAAATACATTTTAAAAAATTTACTAAACTAGTATTTTTACAGTCTTTATTTTACAGTTAAAATAAATGTTTTTCAAATAAAGTTTAATGTTACAAATAATCGTGGATCCCTTTAACATTATCATCCTGGAAGTGCCACTTCAGCCACCACCTCTTCTTCACACACTCAAGGTTTTTTTGAAACAGGCAGAAGAATATGAATGACCACTATCAGAAAATCAAACTAATAATTAGTTTTTTCTTTCTACAGATGATGATGTGGAACACCTGTCTGTATTTAGTTCTCAACAGTCAGTTTCTGTCAGTTTCATCGTCTCACTCTTACAGGCTGGTCAGGGAGCTCCACATTCCAGCAGAAGCTCCAGATCAATGCTGCAGCTGCCACCATTGCAACCATTCAGCGTTTACTGCCTGTTGCCCATTAGACACAAAGCACCACCACTTTACCGTTCCACCCAGCTCTAAGTCCAGCTTTGGGGAGAAGCATGAATTTGGCGAGTCACAATGAGTCAGGCTTTAGATGAGGAGTGACTCTTGGGAGCCATCCTCCCAACATCTACTTCTTTGACTTGGCATCAATTTCTCCTGCAGTTAAAGCCAAGGAGAAATCAACGTGTCCGGTGGATGTACTGGACCAGAACCACAGCACACACAGAGAGAGGGAGCAGTTATATGCTGCAGACCAAAATACAATGTGCTCCTTTTGAAGATGCAACGTGGACATCACCCACCAGGTTTCCTATCAAGTCTACACCAAAACATAGCTTCCAGTTTCAGTCACCTCCTGCTACTAAAGCAAAAACGATCAAACATGTTTTTGGGACAACCAGTTTCAAACCTCAACCCCCTGCAGTAATACAATCTTTCTCTGCCAACATCCTGGTCTGTGGATGACCGTGTTATCTTAGCAAAACATGAAATAAAATCCTTAAAAAAATACTTTATTGTAAAACATTGATTTTGGACTAGTGCAGAAATGTATTTCATGATGTTGTGCACTGTTTTAAAATAATCTAAATAAAAAGCAGATAAAGATGTCATTAATATGACATGAAGCTAATTAAATATCTTTAAAGAAAAGTTCTCAGTGCATAAATCTGTGCAAAACAAGCAATAAACAACAAAGCAGAGTTGGTCAGTTTTTGTTATTGAAGCTTCAGACTGGGTCGGTCATGTGAGGTGTCAAAGGTTAAAGGTGAGGCTGACGCTCTCCCCAGCTTCAACACGGACCAGCTGAGTCTGCTGCTGGGACTCCGGTAAACTGGCAGTGATGGCGTACGTTCCAGGTGAGACCTCGATGGAAAAATCCTCCTCTGCTTTGCCAACAGGACCCTGGAGATACAGAGAAATACTCTGTCACCCTGAAACTAAAAATAACTCCTTTTTTTCTTCTAGCTTTGAGATTTTCAAACATCTGAACTGTTTCTCGTGGTTTCTTACCTGTTTCTTGGTTGATATCCTGGTTCTTGGTCTTGAGTGGAACCTGGACATGTGGGTCTTTTCTGTGTCGCTGGGCTCAGAGCAGCGAGCAGAATCATAATACCTCTGCACCAAGCACGGCAAAAAAGAACACGTCACGTCTCCATCTGAGAAGCCACGCCGAGCTTTTCCACGTGAAATAGGACGGAACCTTCCTCACCTTGCACTGACAGGCTGTCTGAACCATGAGCTCTGCGATAGACTCAAAAGCATCATCGAGCTCCGAGTGAGTTCTCTGAGGGAGAAACAGAAATGAGCTGAATGATGAGAGGTCTCAAGAATGAGCTGAAGTTGGTTCGGAGATTTTAAAAAAACACTTGTGCACCTTCACTGATACGTGGGCGTCTTTGTCAGCAGTAGTGGGGGTCTGGGAAGCACCGATGCTGGTCCAGTCTACGCTTCTTCTGGAGGCTCGCTCCAGCACCTCCAGGCCCAGTCTGCGTGAGCGCCTCATGGAGGACTCCAGCCAGGCTGTGCTCACCATCAAAAGTCACAGTCTGGTCACCTGAAGGTACACGAGGGACAGTTTATATTCACATTTTACAACATTTGTTTTAATAGACTTAATATGAGAAAGCACAAGCAGATGAACAAGAAGCATTATTTATTAACTTAATATTTGTGTAAAACAAACTGGCCCACCAGCAGAAACAAATTTTAAAAACTGCAAGTCATACAGGTCTGCTAATAGGCACTTGGAATAATTTTTTACTGATATTTACTTCTGAAACCTAAATATTCATAATAATAAATAAATCCAGTGAAGTACAACCTAATTTGTTATAGACTGATTAGAAACAGTCCTGCAGGGTAAAAACTGCTGCCAATTAAAACAGGTTATAATAACGAATTGGGTTTTAAAACAAAACAAACAAAAAAGCAGGGGTAAAATCAAAGAAACAAACACTGCAGGAAAGTACATTAAATGTTTTATTTAAGGTTAGAACCCATAGAGGGTATAAATCAAGCATATGCTAAGTGAGGGAAAAATCGGACATGTCAACAAGTTGTTAAAAAACAAAACGCGCATGCGCAGTTCACATTAACGCGCCGTGGTCGTGAAGCAACATGTTCGTTTACTTTCTCTTTTCGGCTTCTCCCTTTCACACAATTATTCTTTTCCCACGTTTTCTGCCGTGAAACACATAAATTCAAACATGCAGTTCCTCTTGTTGAATTCCCTCCAGTCACAACTTCACATACAGCCTGTGGATCACGACATGATTATCCAAAGATTTACTCTCTTCCCTGAGTGTTAGCGAGACAAATAACCACATAAACAGTTCAACGGGTCGAAATTCTTTATGAGACCTAAACTGCTGGTAAAAACTTACCTTTTATTACAAGAGCCTCGCATTTTCCCTTGACAACTCTGAACTCGGCGTCTCTCTCAAAACTGACAGGAAATTCTGCATAAGCCCCACCCCTTCCCGGAAGTAAATGCTAACACCTGCAGAATTAAAGCACGGCTGATGCGGAAGTGCTAAAAACTCCAGCAGTAATTTCAAATCAGGTTAGGGGTTAGTCATCGAGGAACACTATTCTGCATGTTTTGTTTTTTGTTCTTCAGAAGCTTATTAATCACTCACTCATTCAGATCAGGTGTGCCAAAGCAGGGAAACGTTAAATATGCAGGGTAGTATTAATTTCTATGGTATGATTAAAGCAGTGACTTGTTTATGAAAGCACATTTCAAAAACAGCTACAAACTAGTTTGTTGCTTCTAAATTACTCAAGAAAAGCCCAATGTTAAATTTAGACTACTTCTCGACAAGATAGTCTTATTTTCAATCCTTATCCTTTAAGTGTAAACTTAGAAACTTGCTTTTACAGAGTATTTGATTTTAGATTTTACTTTTCTAATTTTTTAAACTTTATTTCCTAATATGCCAAATTGAAGAAATTAAAACACTGGGACTCAGTAGCCATCTAATCAAAAGTTGTCAGTGTATGAGAAAATTTCACAGAAAAGGCATTTTGAATATTTATACTTTTAACAGTGCTCCTGTAACTTATCAAATAAAATATTTATGCAGAAACTCTACTACATAACAAAAATGGACACAATGGTTCCCATTTATACAATTTATTTTTCCAAAAACAATCTGACAGGAACATTATGCCATCAGCACACAGGCTCCGCCCACTGCCTTGATTTTCTCCTCCGCTCTTCGGCTGAAGAATTTGGCTTTGACGATCACCGGCTGCTTGGGCAGTTTGCCTTTGCCCAGAATTTTGTAGTAGCCCTGTCGAGATTAAAAACAGTTAACATTACAATCAAAAACCAAACACACACACACACAAAATAACATTCAAAACAAGTGCTATTAGCTGAAGCTACGATGCTTGCATATAGACTTGTTCACTAAAGTGGTTAAATAAACAAACAAAAAAAAATATATATATATATATATATATTTACATATTTATATATTGTATTAGTTATATTTACATTTACGAAGACCCCCCCCCCCCCAAAAAAAAAAAAAAAAAAAAAAAAAAAAAAAAAAAAAAAAAAAAAAAAAACGTAAAATACCGTAATAACTTTTCTGATGCCTATTTAACAGGTACATACACTTTTTTACTCAAACTGGTCAATTTAAATCCCGACTGATGTGATGTTACAGATCCAGCTCACAAGTAGGAAATGCCAAAGCTTATTTGACAACATTTTAAAAAATCTCATCACATGACAGGTGTTGCAGACAGAACAAACACTGTGAACTGTGCAGGACAGTTGTGTTTATGCTCCCTTTGACAGTTCACAAGTCGCAGTTAAAGCCGCTCCATCCCTGTGCTCAAACGAGCTTTCAGAGAACAAAAAGTGCAGAATCAAAAGAGGCGTTAAATAAAAACCACTGCTGCATACAGCAAAGCCAGACTCACCAAAAGCAACCCACCCTTCACTGAGCTGGTGAAGTTGGTATTCATTTCCTACTCTGCACTTGAGCAATGAGCTTTTCAATCAACTAGCATTGAGTCAGTCTGGCATTTTCATGTCAAAAAGCAGTATATTTAGAAAAACATCAACAAATAAATGCTGCAGAGAAAATATTTCCTGTGCAAACTCACAGCGCGGACAGCATCGATGACGGGAGCAGGTCCATCAGGCTTCTTGGCATAGTTGAGCCTGGTCTGCTCGCTCACCAGTGTCCACAGCTTGTCCAGGTTTACGGTGGGGCAGTAGGACGTGTTCCTCTTCAGGTGGTAATGTCTCATACCCACCTTACCGAAGTAGCCAGGATGGCTAAGGACAAAACACAGCAAGACACACACTGAGAATACAGCTCAACATTAAAAAAATACAAGTAAATGTAACCTGTAGGTTTGCTTTCAAATGGGATAAAAAAAAGAAAAGAAAAACAACAAGACTGAACTAAGATGGTCATTTAGATGCAAATAAACATTGTTGATCAAGTTGTAATGGGGTAAAAGTTAAGTTTTATTTGTAACCATTAGGCAATTAAAATGTTTACAGTGAAAATCAAGTTGTCTGACAATTGCAGACCACTTTGCAAAAAAAAAAAAAAAAAAGGTTCTGCTTGTTATGCTAATGTAACAAATGAACAAGTATGAGTTATGTTGAGCACTTCTTAGGTTCAGCTGTGTTGAACCAGGAAAACACCTAAAACCTTGCAGACACTGGCCCTTGAGGACTGACTCTGGACACCACTAACTTACACAGATGATTAATATTTAATGCCAGATTTTACTTTACATTTTGAAGATCCAGTAAATGACTCAATGTCCTGCAGAAGCCCCGTGAATTTATGCAATACTTTAGCAAAAAAATACTGCAAACGATCATTGTTTTCTTTGACTATCGTAGAAAGGGAAACGTCTTGGTGGCTGACCATCATTAAGATACATTTCTACTGGGAAACCTAAACCCAGGTTTGTTAAAAACAGACTTATTCCATTACAATGTATGGTTTTTTTTTTTTGCTTTTCTATATCAAAAATAGCACATTTTAACAGCACCTCATTGGCTGCAAATTTACTATATTTAGGACCAGTGGGAAAACAGATCAACAAAAAAATTGGACAGAACAGCAGTTCATTTTTATCTTATCCCACCACTAAGACCACACTTCATGGACTATATACTTTTTTTTAATCAACAGGACCTCCGTGAATAAATAAATAAATGAATGTAGAGCAGGAGACCAGATTTACCCTGCAGAATTTCTAGAATGATGCTAATTAAGTAGGGATGTTGACATTTTGTCAGCAGCTGCTGCCATTTTCTTCCCAAACTGCTGAGACCAGATTTTGCAAGGCTGCTCGGTGTGTTTGCTTGTAATTTCCTCCTGCTTCGTTATTTCTATGAATTTCAACAAATCGGGCCGCCGTCAGGTAGTTAGCTACAGCCTCTTCTTTGAGTTTTTAATTTTTGTTGATGCGTTTTGAAGAGACAATTTTTTGAAAAGAGGATCAAAGTAAATCACCCGAGTTTTTCTAGTGACCCCTTAAAGAGACAAGCTGCCATGAAGAACGTTATTTTATCTGCCCTTGTTCCGAATTTGATAATGATTTGAAACGTGGAAGTATGTTTTTTTTATGTTTTGAGGCTCGTCTTCGTCACTTGACACATGTAACACGCTGTCATTGGTTGAGGAGCTTTGTTTGCAAAACACATCATGGTTTTTAAATTGTTTTAATTTCCTTACTTTTTAAGACACATTAAGTTGATTTGATGCTACAGTTTGCCTTGTAATGTTATTTTATACCTTTTCTGCTACTTTTGAATTGGCTATTATTAAGTTTTATTAGTTTTTTAGGATACAAGATGCTTCCTACAAAACCAGAATGGGAATCTTTTCCTAAAATTTCATGGTGATATCTTGAACACTGAGGAAGTTATGAGCAAAATTAGAAAACATCAAGGTGAAATGGTCACAAAGGCCCCATTGGTTCTGCTGTGAAACTGCAGCAAGAAAACATGAGCTGATTTCACCTAAACAAGCATTAATAACTTTCCTCATACTTCAGATAATCACATGATTTTGGTGTTATTTTGTATGGTTTGAAATGTTCTTTTGGAATCCGCTGTCAGATTTAATATTAGTGTAGGATTAATAATTTATCCACATCCCTAAATTAAGATGCAACTATTCACATTCATAATGTTCGTCGTGCATTTATGCATCTATCAATTCTGAAAGGTTCCACTGCGACACATCATCTTGTCTTCTAGGGGGTCTTTGACAAGTTTTGCTACCCTGCTCAATGGCTGAGGGACAAATAAAACATCCACTTACTATTTATCAAAGTTGATTCTGTGGTGATGCATGCCACCAGCATTACCACGACCTCCAGGATGCTTCCTGTGCTTGCCTGTAAGATTGACGAGATGTTTGTGACATTTTCATTTATACTGCAACAATTAACTCATCCATTAATGTTTCAATGGTGTCATGGACTTGTTTATGCTCACCAACGCGACCATGTCCGTGGCTGACATGTCCTCGGAGTTTCCTGGTCTTAGACTTCTTAGTAGGCTGTCAAATAAAAGTTTGCTTACAGTCAAGATAATAATTTAGGAGGTGCTTAGCTCATGATGCTAACTGGCTAAATAAAGTCAGTGCTGATCAATGACAATGCAGAGCAGCTCCAGCTAAGCGCGCAATCCATTTGAATTAAAACATGAAATATTTTCCTAGAAGCTTACAGTAATACTTCACTTTATATCATCAAACATCCACATGATTGACTGAGACCTCATAAGCTAAAGGTAACTCATCCTACAGCACTTAACAGACTTTAAACATTTAAAACATCACTGCTGTGAGAAACAACCTCCAGAACTAAAAATTAGATTAAAAGCCACCAAATTCGTTCAGTCAAAGCCAATCAAATAAAACCTATGTAGCCACAAAAACCTGTAAGCCGACTACTACAGACTAGGCCTGTAGCAACCCGGGTAGCACTCTGTAAACCGCTCACAAATATCCAAAATTTTAAATAAAATTTCGAAATAACACTGAAGAATCGTACATGTAAGATACATGTTGTGCAAAACGCTGTAAAATGTTGATAATTCAAATTAACGAACAAGGATGGGAGCAGATTTATCCTGATTTCTTTACACGGGGATAAACGATAACACCTACCATCTTGGAGGCTAGTTGAAAGAGGAACGAGATTTGGAAACAACGCGACTTTCTGCGAGACTTCGCCTCTGACGAAAGTGTTGTCAGAAATCCACAGCGACGCTTACTGGTACGATGAGGAAATTACACAGCTTGTTCTGTGTGCATTTTGCACAGTAACAACCCGAGAGTGGCAAAAAATATCTGAAAAGCATTAGTATTGCCTGTTTGGATCATAAACTGTAAAAAAAAACATCTGTAAAACAAAAAATAAAAAATAACATCAAACTCTTTGGGGCCAGGCCCGATTGATGAAGTTGATGTCACTTTGCATTGTCATTTTCTTGGCTGGAAGAGTCTCTTGTTTTGAGAGGGATAGCTCCATCTATTTTGAGGGATTATTTAGTAACAGGCTTTGCTTTGATGTCACACAATCAGACCCATAATGTTTGTACATCAAGACTTCCTTGTTAGAAAACTGTCAGCTGATAAGTGAGGTCATATTCCCTCCTTAGTCCTTTTCAGGAAGTGACTAAGTTCTGATGATTTCAAGATCTGAGAAATAAAGCTTTTTAAAAGAGAACCAACTTGGTTTTCTGCTCAGTTATTCTGGCTACTGATTTTTGATGATGAATTTCTTACAGTGTTATTCTTGCTTCAAACTTTGGCAAAAACTGCAGGCGACAGCTGTGCTTGTTTGCAAGATTTCCCATAAACCACTGGATTAAACTTGAATTACATATATACAAATGATCAGCTTTCACTGGATTAAACTTGAATTACATATATACAAATGATCAGCTTTTTGAGTCACCCCTATTTAAGATGGCTGCCACAGTTAGTTGACATTTGCAAAAATGCCTATAATTCAGGTAATTTGACAGAAATTCAGCTAAAATGTGATATAACAGTAGATCAGGGGTGTCAAATTCATTTTCACAGAGGGCCACTTGAGCGTTATGGTTGCCCTCAAAGGGCCAGTTGTAATAAACTTCAACGTTTTGTGTTTAACTTCAACCAAAAACACGACACGTCACATTCCTCGAGTACTGCTAACAAACAATAACTGAGCTCTACCTGGTATTTCCTGCATAGAAACTGTGTTTTTAACGTGTCCTCTTATAAACACTGAAACACATTTTTACAACTGACTAAATGATAATGCAGAGAGTTTTACTCACTGTTGAGTTGTCTTGAATTCTGAACTCTCCCACTTTCCCACACGGAGTTCCCATGCACAATCGACATGCATTATGGGAGATGTAGTTTATGGTCAATGCTGGCTTTAGATCAGCTTATTTTGAGACATTAATACAGGGCTATTCAACTAAATTACACAAGGACAGGACAAGTTATCTTTAGGTTTTTATTTTATTTTATTTTTTATTTTTTGCTGCATTGACTCATAAAGCTTTCTTGGATGGAAGTCACGCATGCGTGGGCCACATCTGGCCCCCAGGCCTTGAATTTAACACATGTGCAGTAGACTAAAGTCATTCACAACACATACTCTGATTGAGATCTTGCAATATCAGGTGCAATCAAGCATAACATTCCCACATAGCAATGCACAAACACTCTAACACTCACTCGGCCCAGATACCACAAAGAATGACAGCCTTTTGTTGACTTAGATGTGTTCCAAGCATGGGTGAGCATCATAAACCATAAACAGGCCAGTTGTGGCATGCCACCTTGAAAACAGTGCCTTCAGTGCCAGACCTGGCCCACAGACAGCCAGCAGTGCCAGCCTGACATCAACTCTGGCCCACACCGGTCTGCTCTGTAGGTTATTAACATTTGACCAGTAAAGCAATAACTCATCATCATTTCTCATTATCTTCTTAAACTTTGTCATATAAAACCATGAGCAATAAGCATTTCTTTAAACAAAGATCATCCTTTTTTTTTAATTATAGAAATAATCTCAGCGTGGTATCCGTTCAGTACCATCATTCTGACAACCAGAGCTGACTGTATTTTTACTCTTAATTTTATTTTTAATTGTATAATCTCTACAAAACAAAATGCAGTTATTAAAATAACACACACGGTGGCAGCCCACCAGGGTCTGGATTTTACAGTGCTGATAAACTGCAGACACAGGATGGGCTCAGATGTTACAGTTGGGTTTTATAGCCCATCGGTGGGAGCTGAGGTTGATTTGCATGAGAAAGGCCCGTTATTCAACGTCCGTGTTAGCTCTATGGTCTGTATTTTCTCAACGGGGCAGAATTTCAGAGAGCAAACAACGTTTTCAGGTCAGCCTCTACCTGCCACATCAGAAGTAGCTGTTTCATTGTTGGCCGTGTTCAGCATCATCAAACCTGTAAGGACAGTTTTATTTAAAAGTTATTAATTTATGGTTATTTATTTAAAATGATATTTTAAAGCATGTCCATGATATGCTTCTCCACTGCAGCTTTTAGACACTAAACTTTTACTTTGTAAATTATGAGTCCGTTTCGTGCTTTCTCCCAAACTGCAGCTTCTAAAACAGAAGGGGTCAAATGATCCACGTCATTTAACGCACAGTTTAAACTTGTGTGAGTGGATATAATTACAATATCCATTGGCGTTTCTATTAGTGGGTGGTTCAGAACTTTTGTGGACAGAATTTCTTGGTGCAGCCAAGGAGCAGAGGCAGTCCTGTTCATTAGCCTCAGGATTTCATCTCTGCTACAGTAGGGAAAACAAGTATTTAGTCAGCTACCAATTGTTCAAGTTCTCCCAGTTAAAAAGATGAGAGAGGCCTGCAGACCTCAATTATGAGAGACAAAATGAGAAAACATATCTAGATTGTCGGATTTTTTAAGAATTTGTTTACAAATTATGGTGGAAAATAAGTATTTGGTTCTGTTGGTGTCATTGTGCCGTGATCTTCAGCTGCAGTTTACAGCCTGTGAAGCAGCTAGATTGAGGATCAGTGCCTCAACTGGAGGAGTTTAGGTATCTTGGGGTTTTGTTCATGGGTGAAGGAAGAATGGAGCGTGAGATTGACAGATGGATTGGTGCAGAGTTGTAGACTCTGTACTGGTGTGTTGTGGTGAAGAGGAAGCTGAGCTGTAAGGCAAAACTCTCTGTTTTACCGGTCGGTCTACTTTACTACTCTCACCTACCACCACGAACTTTGGGTAGTGACCGAAAGAAGAAGATCACAGATACAAGTGGTCAAAATGAGTTTTCTTCACAGCTGGACTCTCCCTCAGAGATAGGGTGAGAAGTTCAGTTCTCCAGGACAGTTTAATAATTGTGGTGGTTCAGGCATCTGGTAAGGATGCCTCCTGGATGCCTTCCTAGAGAGGTCCTTCAGACATGTCTGACTGAGAGGAGACCCTGAGGAAGGCCCAGAACATGCAGGAGAGACTGGCCTGGGAACACCTTGGAATCCTTCTGGAAGAGCTGGAAGAGGTGTCTTGGCCTCCTTTCTCAATCTGCTGCCTCCGCAACCTGACTCAGGACCAAGTGTAAGACATTGTATGTACAGCGGGTAAAATAAGTATTGAACACGTCACCATTTTTCTCAGTAAATATATTACTAGAGGTGCTAATGAC